CCAGTGTTTCATGTTTTATTTGTCTATCTGCTCTGCTATATACTGCATTGAGCACTCTTGTCTACATGATCTGGTTTAAGCCAACCACGCAGATTATATATATATATATATATACAAAATTATACAAAGCAATATTGTAAATTAAATAAATGTGGGCCTATAAAAGTATTGAAAGGCAAATAAAATATAGTTATAATGATGGAAGCAGGAAGCCAAAACAATGATATATATAGTATTGTATAAGGCATATAATATATATAGATATAGTGCATCTTGAAAAAATGAAACAGGTAAGTTCTACAATAGTATACAGTAAGCTTATATATGTATATACTGTATATATATATATGAGAGAATGAAATTATTAGAAAAGGAGACAGAGAAGAAAACAGAGATAGAGATAGAAAGATAGAGAGGAAACGTTTTACGTTAACATTACAAAGTGATCAGAAGAATACTTTAAACAAGAAGAGAGACTCTATAGAGTTAGCACATTTTGTATATTTGATTGTGATTTACAATAAAACATAACAAGGATCTGCATAAAGTCTACCTGCGTATAATTCAAGTTCTAACCTTTCTTGCAAGTAAACATAGACCCCAACACGACAATAGTGACACATACAATATGAGTGCACAGGGGCACCATCATCTCCATTGAAAATTTTGCAATAAAATAATCATGCTCAAGTAGTTAAAAATCACCTCATATATCACCTTATTTGGCAAGCAGTTACCCTAAATTGAGACCCTCTCAACACGTATCCCTCTCCCAAATCTCAAGCCTTCTATAGGTACGCCACTGATTTAAAAACTAATTTAATCTATTTTAGAGTCTGCAATTTGTAAACATTCATAATATTTGTTGTCAATTAGTAATTAGTTGAGCACCCTCTACCAATGTGGGGGGGGGGTTATATCTGAATGGGGAGGGAAAAGGGATTGGTGGTTATGAATTGTAAAAATGAAAGCATAAGTTAAAAAAAACTGACTTGGATTGTCATCTATCTATGA